TGGCTTGGGCTTCCTCGGGGGACTGTTGCTGGGTTTCGAGAGCAAGTCCTAGAAAAGAGCTGGGCAGGTGCTATAACATTTTTAAGATCTCTGAAGTCATGCAGTAGTATTCTGTAATATTCTATTTAGAAGAATTAAGTCACTAAGGCCAGCCCATATTTAAGGGGCTGGGAATTTAGACTCTACCTCTTGATGAGGGGAGTATCAGGGGATTTGCAGATACCACCCACACATATAAATGCTAATTAGCTGCTTGTTTTAAGCATTTATTACATTTTGAAAAAGCCTCAGAAAGAGAATGAGGGGTACACAGTCTTACAAGGTCTGAATAGAAGTCAATAATAACGCTAAAGAGTCAATTAGCCCATAAAAGATGCTAACCATGCCTGCTTACTTCACAAGTGTTAGTAATCTTCTTTTACAATCTCCTTTTAGGAGATAAAATTGAGCTGTTTGGTCTAGAAAGGTGTAGTAGGTCAGTGCTTCTACTTTATAGGCATGCAAACTGCTGGGGATCTTGTTAAAATGCAGATTCTGATTCAGTAGGTCTGAGGTGGGGCATCACATTTTGGATTTCTTTTGTTCTTTTTTTTTTTAATACTTTAAGTTCTGGGATATATGTGCAGAACATGCAGGTTACATAGATATATACGTGGCATGGGGGTTTGCTGCACCCATCAACCCATCATCTACACTAGTTATTTCCCCTAATACCATCCCTCCTCTACACCCCCAACCCCTAACAGGCCCTGGTGTGTGATGTTCCCCTCCCTGTGTCCATGTGTTCTCACTGTTCAACTCTCACTTATGAGTGAGAACACCCAGTGTTTGGTTTTCTTGTCCTGTGTTAGTTTGCTGAGACTGATGGGTTCCAGCTTCATCCATGTCCCTGCCAAGAACATGAGCTCATCCTTTTTTATGGCTGCATAGTATTCCATGGTGTATATGTGCCACATTTTCTTTATATAGTCTATCATTGATGGGCGTTTGGGTTGGTTCCAAGTATTTCCTATTGTGAATAGTGCTGCAATAAACATATATGTGTATGTGTCTTTACAGTAGAATGATTTATAATCCTTTGGGTATATACCCAGTAATGGATTGCTGGGTCAAATGGAATTTCTTGTTCTAGATCCTTGAGGAATCGCCACACTGTCTTCCACAATGGTTGAACTAATTTACACTCCCACCAACACTGTAAAACCATTCCTGTTTCTCTACATCCTCTCCAGCATCTGTTGTTTACTGACTTTTTAATGATCATTCTAACTGGTGTGAGATGGTATCTCATTGTGGTTTTGATTTACATTTCTCTAATGATCAGTGATGATGAGCATTTTTACATGTTTTTTGGCCACATAAATGTCTTCTTTTGAGAGTGTCTGTTCATATCCTTCACCCACTTTTTGATGGGGTTTTTTTCTTGTAAATTTAAGTTCCTTGTAGATTCTGATATTAGCTCTTTGTCAGATGGATAGACTGCAAAAATTGCCTTCCATTCTGTAGGTTGCCTGTTCACTCTGATGATAGTTTCCTTTGCTGTGCAGAAGTTCTTTAGTTTAATTAGATCCCATTTGTCAATTTTGGCTTTTGCTGCCATTGCTTTTGGTGTTTTAGTGATAAAGTCTTTGCCCATGCCTATGTCCTGATGATAGTGCCTAAGTTTTCTTCTAGGGTTTTTATGGTTTTAGGTCTTATGCTTAAGTCTTTGATACATCTTGAGTTAATTTTTGTATAAGTTGTAAGGAATGGTCCAGTTTCAGTTTTCTGCATATGGGTAGCCAGTTTTCCCAACACCATTTATTAAATAGGGAATCCTTTCCACATTCTGCATCTCTAGGAAGCAACAGGGGGCATACTGCAGCTCCACTGAGCCCCCATTGAACAGCAAGTTAGCAAAAGTAATAAGGGTAACTGCCTGGCTTCTGTGATCGCACCCTTCTCTGGGAGGAGCTCTAATGAAGTATGCCTCCAGAGGACCTTATGTGCTTACAATACCTTAGCCCTCTGGCCAGTGAACCCCTGATGCCAATAAGGTTAATCTGTTCTTTCACAAGACTTGTAGAACTGGAATTAAAGGAAGAGAGTAATTTCTCTCTCTCTTGTGGTAGAAGCAGGGGATATGAGGCTCTATCCATCACGTGAGAAAGCTAGTTTCCAGGAGGAATAAAGGGAACATATAGAGAAGAGAATCCAGGTGACACTCCAGTGCCTGAGGAGGCTCAGACATGACCCCACTTCCTGCAAGAATATACAAAATTTCCTAATATTCTTCTGGCAAATTCCCCTCTTGGCCTAAATTTGTTCTACTTGGGTTTTTATCATTTGAAACTTAAAAAAACTCTAACAAAAGATAACAAAGGGTAGAGAAAGTAAGGGATATGTTCTCCTGGAAATGCAATCCCCACTGTTTTACAGTACTGGATTATTATCCAGACATCTGCAACCTGAGGGTGAGGACAGACTATCCCTTAAATCATGTTAAAGGCATGCTCCCAAAAGAGTGAACTGTCCATGAAAAAAGAGGACAGTAGAACACTAAGGCTGAGGGAAGATTCAGAAAAGCCTCAATCTACCTAAAATAGGAAAAAATCTGGAAAAGGAAAGCAAGAGAATCTATGGATTAAAATGGTTGGATAGTATTGAAAGAAACTGTTACCCAAAAATGATGCTTGCTGAAAACAGATGGGAAAAGGACAGTCTAAGAATAGCAAAGCTAATGTTCTTTAAAGAGTGACCAGACCCTGGGCCTGAGCATAAGTTAAAAGCAAGATATCCCTGTCCAGCAAAGAACAAAACATTGACCTTACCTATGTGTCGGACATTGCGTGATTTGCTTTACATTTATGACCTTATTAAATGACCCCCTAAGAAAGTTTCACTCTTGCCCCTGTCCCTGAAACCCTGGCACAGTCAGAGCTGGCACTCCTACAGTCAAAAGAGAGAAGACTGAATGAATGCGGGTCATATCATATGATTCCCACCTGGCAGACCCTATGACTGGGTATTCCTCTGCAGGCAAATCTCAACGTCCTGTGAAGTCTCTGCGACTGCAAGCTGCCCAGGTGACACAGGAATGACAGTGTCACCTTTCCATGTTTGGACTAAATCAATTTTTAATAACCAGTCTCTTGATTACAACTTCATCTATATCAATCCCCTTATTCTAGGATCTACACAGTTGAACCAAATATTTCATAGCACATTTCCAAAACAGTACATTTTTTACACTAAAAGAAAAAAAATAAAAGCCTGGTCACCACCAAGGGATACTGTCCATGAATTTAAAGGCTTTCCTATTTAAGTAGCAGGTATATGTGTAAATAGGGCAGGCAGCAACAGAACAGCAATATTGGAGAATGCTTTCTTTGTAGTAAATGTGTATGGGATGTGACAACGCAAAAATGGATACTCATCTCATTATTTTATTGCCATATCTTGTGGTATGTTTATAATGTATTTATTTTGCATATTAAAACAGTATCTGCTACAGATGGGCTTAATTTTGGTAAAGTGAACTGATAAAAGGATATATGTTAATGCAAAATTTGTTGTAAAGATTCCAGAAACACAGGAGTCAAAATTTCAAATTATGATTCCCACAGTAACTGTAACTCTGGTATACAACATACATAATGGAAGAAATGTTATCAACATATACCATAGTAGAAAACACTCAGCAGAAACAAGTTGAGTTATGCTTGTTGTGGGAATCATCATTTTCAACTAGCTGAGAATATATAAAAATTGAAACCATAAATGCATGCATTATTTTTTGCATTTAATTCTAATTTTTCTTGATCCAATTTAATCAGCTTTGCATCCAAACTACATTTTCCTTTCATAAACTGCAAATGAATGTATTTTGTACTTTTAAAATCCACATCATTTGATTTCTTTTTCTCACACAGGCTGCCTTTTCAGGATGGAACCATTATACACTGTCCCTCCCTGAAATGTCAGGACAAGTCTGCTGGGATTCATTTATCTACATTCCTTTTCTCCCTGAAGGACACCATGGGGGAGGAGAAAAAGAATACCAAAAAGAACAAGAATCACATTGAGTAGCTTAGAAAGGTACATAAGTGCAAGAGAAACAGGGCCACTGTCACCATTAACTTCCCCCTTGGTATCCTCCTAAGCTGACATAAGAACAATAATGCCATCATATATTTACAATTTCCAAAGTGTTTAGTCAAAATATTATCTCATCTGATTGATTCTCGCCACAACACTGTGAGAAAGGCAAAAACAAAATACCTTTCTGTTGTTCAGCTTCTGTGACTCAAGTATTATATATTTAAGGATCTGTTTTTATGTTATCATTTAAATTGTAGGTCATTTAACTGCGCCGACAATATTACCTAAATATACTCGTCTACCACATGCAGAGGATTTAGTTATTCCTATTTAAGTAGCAGGTACATGTGTACACAGGGCAGGCAGCAACAGAACAGCAATATTGGAGAACACTTTCTTTGTAGTAAATGCCCTTGAGAATGAGATGTGACAATGAAGCAATAAGGCCAAGTCTATAAAGCAAAAACGGATACTGAGCTCATTATTTTATAGTCATATCTTGTGGTATATTTATAACGTATTTCTTTCACATGTTAAACAGTTAAAACAGAAAGGCAGAATATGCTCTGTGTAAAATAAGTGAAAGATTCAATAACGAAACAGAGGAATAACTGCCCTTTGAAATCCTGCCAAGGCAAAATTTGTCCTGAATGTTATATCCAGTACTACTTTTCCCAGTTTGGTTTTAACTAAGAAGGGCACCTTCTACAACCTCTGAAGAGGAATTCTTTTACTTTCTAGCAGTCTTTACCATCAGGGTATGTTTCATTATATTCAAACTAAATTACTTGGCTCAAGAACAATCATAATTCCTTTACCACCCTAAATAGCTCCGCCTAACCATGATGTCCATGACCTTGTATGAGTGTCTGGAGGGCAACACGGTCAATCTTTTCGTGTCTCATTGCTACTGTAATCAGTCTATTCAATTGCAAGTTGATTTTCCCTTCTTTTCATGTATAAAAAGATCCTTCATATAATCAAACAAAATATCCCTTCCTCATTTATATAAGACACCAATAAAAAGATCAATTAAAACAAAGATTCAGAGCTAGCAAAAAGCCTCAATATCATTTTTTCTAACTAGGAAGATAACACAGCCAATCCTTTACCTGTGAAAAGTATGACAATCTTGCATGCAATTAAAAGGTAATACTTTAAATGCAAAAGGGAAAACAAATCTTAAGGAATATTAATTTTAGGGGTTTTCTTGTGGAGGACGGGTTGTCTTCTTAATGTTACCTATAATTATAAACAAAATTATACAACAGATCTTTGCATTGAATAAAGATAAACACATTAAGTTCCTGGATAAAAGAGATAAAACGGGGAAGGTATCTCCCCAGACATAAATACTGAATTTTTAGGCTTTTCCTCCACTCATATGCAGAAGTTTTAAAAGAAAAAACAATATCAGGGGTTGATCACAGCACAGTCTCAATATTATTTCCAAGCTAAAATGTCAGTGATGGGGATATAAGCTCTGGCATCTTATCAGAGACCAGAAAAGGGGCTTACTGCCTTATGAGATACATCAGCCAGACATGACAGCTAGGCCATAAGCATATATTTTCTTCACAGGTCATCCACTTTAAGGGATTTTTCTCAGGGAAAGTATAGATAGAGCCAGTAGGCAAGGTTTGCCTTAAACAGAATGAAATAAAGTCCTTGTTGGCTCTCTCTTTAAAGATGGAAAATGAAGAGTAGGTGACCAATTCTGTAAGATCACAGAATGCTTAGAAATGAAAAACAATGGGGTATGTTTCTCTTGAGCAGTCAATACATAAAATTACAAAAGGTCTACAATTTCCCAAATAAACTGACAACAAATAAGGTCCTGGAGATTGTCAGTGACATAAATTTAAAAAAGAATTTTTCATCTTTGCTTTTAATTAAAGCCACAGGATTCCATGAGTGACTGACGGCAAAATATTAATACAGTAAAGAATAAAACAAAGGAAAACATTTGGAACAATGTAAGTGGTCAAACAATAGAAGACTGTGAAATGAATTAAACATTCATACAGTGGATACTATGCAGTCATTCACAATGTATTTTTGAGAGGGAAAGGTTTTTTTCTCTTATTGTAAAATGAAAAAAAGAGATTATAAAGTAGTATATTCTATATGATCTCCATATTGGAAAAAAAAATAAGTGCATAAGTCAAAAGATTGAGAGGACATATAGAAAATAATTAACTGAAGTTACCTCTGTGAGAATTTAATGTTTGCACAATTTTTTCTTTTCTAAATGAAAAGGGGATTAGGGGAAATTATTATTTTCAAAAACAATCAATGTATTCTGATCTTTTGTCCCATTTGCTTTTATAATATGCAAAATATAAAACTAGAATATATTTAATGCCATTAAGCAATTGCATTAAGAATTATTTTTAAGTTATGAAAGTTGATTCAAATTTGGTTTTCTTATGCTTATTTCCAATTCACATAAGAGCAACACATTTTTAAAAATATATAATGACATAAATTATTATCCAAGGTTGCAGTCTTTCATGCATTCTTCATATATGATCAAGTCTAAAAAATGAACTTCATATGTTTGATTCCGTAAGTTTTGAAGAAAACCATGATAATAAGTGCCCATAGTCCCAGAATGAAGCCCCCAGGAGGATGCCAATCTTTCAGCTTTGGTTTCTGCAAAACAAGAATAACACAATAAATTTCATAACAGGTAAATAATTCAGCAATCAATAAAGCAAACACTTCACTGGTTGTGTTTGAAGGGGGACTAGTTTACCCAAATTAAGTATATTGGGATAGCAACAATGTTTAAGTAAAGACTTCAAACCCCACAAGGTAAACTGGCTCCTAACAAAGATCAGTTTCAGCTTACATTTTGTTTCCTCAGAGTCATTCCCTTACTACCTAATCATACCATCTATCCTCACTCAAGTTATTCAGTAGCCTAACAGTCTTTCTCACTTTGAATTTGTATATGCATTAATTTGTCAGTTTTACCTATCTCTATTAGACTGTAGCTCCATAAGGGTCATCTTATTTTATTCCCAGCACCAACCTGCCACAGTGCCTGGCATTCAGGAGGCACATGCTGTATAACACACTGAGTAATCAGTGGAAAAACAAACGCTACCAAACTCCATCAGATATTCAACAAACACCTGTCTGCGGGCCAGTGCCCTGGGTCATGTTTTCCCTTGAGATAGAATGCTTCTTACCCTATTAATTGTGCCTATTCAAAACTCACTAACTCAACTGCCAACTCCTTTAGACTCTCCCACCTGATATATTACTTTCTTTGAGTTCTTATAGTACCTGAACTATAACTCCTTCTACTGCTACTCCTATTTACTATTGTATTTACCATTTATCTCCCTGCATATTCCTTGGGATCAAAGTCCATTAAAGTCCATTTTTTTTTTTATCATTCTCTATTACTCACCCCCAAGTGTCATGTATGCGTCTTTGTCCAGCGAGATCAGTCTTTCTCATTTAGTTGTCATTTCAACAGCTACATTACAGCCTTGTAATCGGAAGTTTGTGACAATGATCTCTTTAGGAGTCTACTTACTGAATTACTGGCCAAGACTATAATGACAGTTATGATATTAGAATCATATTTTAGACTATAGGGGAAAGAAATGGTAACTAAAATTTGCTTTAATCATCATTTAGTATAATGTCCATCAATTCAAAATTAAATTTTCAAACTAAAAGGAGAGAAAGCTACCTCAATATTTTAACTTGGATCATAATTCTAGAGTTTTCAGAGCTTTTAATCAAGTGCTTCTTATAAACTGGCCTACCGATATTTAAAGTGGTTACATTCCATCTTCATTACTATGCCTACTCTCACCCTCTACCAGCCCATCCAGAAAACTCCCCCAAAATTTATCCCAAAATATTAAATCCAATTTTCCTCATGTTATTTTACACTTAAGAGTATGCAGTGGCTTCCACTCAATAAATGTGATGATGATGGCAAAAGCCTTGCCCTCTAATATCTTACAAGATGGTAAGTTCAGTGGCTCTCAAACCACTTCTAATGGCAGAGCTCTTGGAAGTTACAGTGCTTTCTGTGCAATGCTGTGACAAATCTTAATTCCAGTAGAAAATCTAGAATAATCAATAAAAAGCAACACTATATTAAAGATAGGTCATATCACAAGCATGTGTCAATGAAAAAATGAGTGAACTAAAGATTTACTGCTCAGTTTTTTTCCTGCTTATTTTCTACTAGTCAAACAATTTGTAATTCACACAAACGGGTTGAAAACGTTTAAGATCTAAAACTACTTTTCCACATACTGGGAAAAGATTACCATGATTCATTATTAGTGGAAGCACACTTTTACACAACCTATAGATATTCCCTGAAAGCCCAGTTTAAGAGCACTGACCTAGTTTGAGAGATAAGATACTGATTTTCCCTAACGACTAGGAGTCTCTGATTTATATGGCATTTAAAAACACCCACACTTAGGTTACTACTATAGAAAAGTTAAATACATATTGTCAAAATCTGGCACTAATGTAAACTCTTAACTAAGGAGAACAGGCTATAGACAATTGTTCCATCAATCCAATTAATGAACTTCAGTGCTAAAAGAGTTAAGATGGCATTTAAACCAAGTCATGTTTTTCAAAAAATGGTGAACATCATTTAAGCTGCACATTCATTAGAGATTATAGAAACAATAATCAAGTACTTAATAGCAAATCTTAATTCACAGCTGTAATAACTCCAGTTACTTTCCAATGAGATGGATTCCCTGAGGCTGTAACTTTACTATTAGATCTTAAACTTGGCAGCCAGAAACAATTGCCAGAGACAAAACACCTGAAGAAAAAATAGCATCTTTGAAAGTAACTACCATTTTCCCAAAGATTCAACAATTAGCCCTGGCAGCTATTTTGACCCATTATTCCAAAGGCTGGCTTAGAGAATTCTGGAGGCACTTCATTCTGGTCTTTCAACCTCCTTGACAGGAATGTGTTTCACTTCTAGACCACTGATGGCCAGGGTAGGAACAGAGAGAAAATCAAAGTGCTATGTCTCCAAAAGCAAACTTGAAAAGTAATAATGGAGGACTGAGAAATATACGTAATTCCTCCAAAATTATAACGGAACGGTAAACTTATTCACATGATAACACTGCACAAGCTACCAAAAGCAGCAAATCGTGGCCTTTCAAAACTGCTCTTTGTGGTTGCTATATTTTTTAATATTTACTCAATATCTGTTTTTGATGAACAAAAACTGGAAAATGCATTATGAATTAAAAGCACTTTGGACTCAGCTTATGATGGCATCTGAACAGAATCCCCTAGTGCAGTCTCTTCCACCTTCTCGCAACAATCCACACAAAGGCACAGAGAAAGACAACAGCACACCCTACCAAAATTCAGTTAACCTCTGATGAGAAATCTCTGATAGTTGCACTATCTGGAAGTCCCAGAAACCAAGACTAGAAACAAATTAATGGTAGGCTCAATTTTCTGTTTGGTATACACCATGCAAAGGCTTGCTTTGCTCTGTGAAACACAATACTTCTGCCAGCTGAGTAAGGGACTTTAGCTCACTCCCTTTTTCTGCCTGCTGCTTAGCAGACACAATGCTTATGCAGTAGAAAGATAGCTTTATGAGGCAGTCAGGGTTGTGTAACTCATTCCCAGTTCCCAGTGGCACACCTCTTTATATATCCATCTAAATACAATTCCCAGCAAACAGTAAGACAGAAGGGTAGAGGGACACTGACAATGGTTCGCTGCTTCCTGAAAGGCTTAGTATCACAGGAAAAGCTCTGCAGAGACCAGAAAACACAGGAAAAACCTTGTTAGTATTACATGTTTTAAAAATATGTTTTTTCCATATACTTCACCTTTTTTTCAGTACCCCTAAACCAGGCATAAGTGGTATGGTAGCAGATGACTCTAGCTTAATTCAGTGGAGCCACATTTAGACTGGCCTAAGAACCAGTCACTGTTAACCATATAACAACCTATTCCTCAGAGACAGATTTGAAAGGCATTTAAACCTAAGTGGATAGTGAAAAGCATCCACACACTCTGTTGGCAAATACCAACAGTGTCCAAATAAAAAGGAAAAACTGAGGTGGGCTCTATGAGGAAAAATATTCCCAAACATGAGAAATAAGTTATAGCCTAAAGATGCAGAGAAGATATCTCTGAGAAAAATTTAATAAGAAACCAAAAAACAATTTTAAACAATTTTTATTTGGCATGGATTTGAACAAAGATTCACAAGCAACTAAAAATGAAAAAATAATATAAAGAGAAAAAGAATACATAATACAAAGACAACTCGCTGAAATAAAAAGGGAGCTGGATGATCTAATTTTGTAACAGCAAAATTAAAATCCACATTTACAAGGAACATAGTGTTCTAAACACATCTTCGAGTCCTTCATTCATCCAATTATGTTAGATTGATGGCAAACATGGCCCTAATTACCCATACTTGACTGTGTCCATACCCTCTGCAATGTGACTTTATAGAAGCTCCTATCAAGAGGTAAAATCTATATATCTATCCTTTGAATCAGCAGGTCTTCTGACTTCTTTTGGCCAACAGAATGCAAAACAAGTAACAGTGTCCCAGGTTTAAGTTAGCCTCAAGAGGCTTGGTTTGCTTCTGCTCTCTCTCAGACCTCTGCCACCATAAGGAGAAAAAGCCCAGATTTCTAGAAGATGAAACATCAGTTGCAGAAGAGCTGAGGTTCTCCCCAGTTAACAACCAGCCAACTATAAGGGCAAAACCATCTAATTAATCCAGAGTTGGCCACACCACAGACTCATGAAGGAGCTTAGCTGAGAACAGAACTGCCCAGCTAAACTCATCCTAAATTGCCAACCTGCAGAATTGTTAGCTAAATAAATGACTGATGTTTTAAATTACTAACTTTGGAGTGGTTCATGATACATCAAAAGTTATGAAATACATCCACAGTGGTGATAATTAATGTGAAGAAAAGAAAGCCCTAATCCTTTATCACCATAACAAAATAGAAAAAGTTCCCATCTCCATACTTTGAACTTCAGGCTTTTCTAACAATGGCATAAGGACAGCATGACAGGCAGCAAATCAAGCCCATACTTTAGTGGAGATGCAGTGCTGCTCTCCTCTAGCTCTCCTTTATAGTCTTCCTGGAAAGAGAGAAACTCCACCTGCACCATGCTAGGAGTTGCTTTCAAGGAAATAATGGTGACACAGGGGAATCTAGAAACTAAATTACCTAGCTTCATTTTAGCCTTCTTCCAACTGAAGTCTAGATCTGAAATTCGGTTTCTCTTCCTTTTAGTTAACAATTAGAGGTAATCCAGATGTTGCCCACCTGCTGGAGAAATGCAAACTACCCAAGATTTTTATATACCTTTTTCCATTATAAATATTGCAAAGCAATTAGTGTAATCCAGAAAATTAAGAATGATTTGTTTTCAACTATGATTTTGGTTTTGATTGAAAGATGACCACAGTTTTTCCTTAACCATGATTTTAACTTTCCTGTGATAAAAACACCCACTATTAAAATTATTAGTTAACATTACTCTGGAATTCCTAGCCAATCCAGACATAACATGTAGGAAGGGAAAGTAAATTTTTATTACTCATTGATATTATCATTAGATATCAAAAAGCTCCATCAAATCAATTC